CACCTTATCTGTAAGGGATATATTCTAAGACCATCCAATGGATGCCTGAAACCAGGAAGAGTACTGAACCCTATAAGTCAATGTTTTTCTCATTTTAACTAAGCACTCATCCTGTACTCCAGCCATAATTTTTGCAATGTGATGGATGATAACTAAACTAGCACAAATTTTTTTTTTCCATCTTCCAGGTTTCACGGGAGAAAATTCATTCTTACTATAGCTCTTAGCAACCTCAGCATTTTTTTCTTTCATTAAACCCATTTTGTTCCATTCTCCCAGATGTGGGACACCTATAAGAACTTAAATTGAGCATCAAATATACCAGTTATGCATAGTTTTTTTAAAAAACAATACCAGTTTTATATTCATATGCAAGAAAATGAATTTAGTCCTCTACTTCAAGCCATACATAAAAATTAACTCAAGTTGGATCTATGAAAGAACTAAAACTATAAACCTGCAGGAGAAAATATTAAAGAGAATCTTTTTAATTTTAACAAAGGTAAAACTTTCCCTATATGAAATCTACATCATAATCCATAAAACAATTGACATATTAGACTTTTATCAAAATTTAGAAGTTCTGATTTTCAAAACACATTGTTAAGAAAATAGTCATGGACTCAGAAAAATATTCGCAGATTATCTAAAAAAAAGGCATATCTAGAGTAATGAACTTTTACAACAATAGAAAGAAATCAGTCCAATTTCAAAAGAGGTAAAAGAACTTGAAAAACATTTTTTTCAAGAAAACATAAGAATAGCTAATAAGGATGGGAGTTTGGACAATATCATTAGCCATTAAGAAAATAATAACAAAGCTTGCAATGGCATACAATTATGTGCCACTAGAATAACTATAAAGAAAGTTGACAATACTAAATTTTGTGAGGATAACTAGGCTCCTCATGCAGTGCTAGTGGGTGTGAGAGTACAGTCACTTTGGAAAAAAAAATTGGTAGTTTCAGACAACACAGATGTGCAATTAAAAATAAAAATTTTCTGGAAATTTCTAAGAAGATTTTTCTCTAATAATTATCCTTATTTAGAAATTACAATTATTGTAAAATATCGTGTTTCATTACTGCTCATCAATAATTAAGCTTCAAAGGGAATAAGATCCTAATTGTAAATGGCCAGATATCATCTTGTTCCTGTCTACATTATGCATCTTAAAAGTCCAGTAATTTGCAGTCAAGGAAGCCCTGCCTACAAAACAGATACTTTTGGTTGGTAGGAAATAATTTAACTATCAATAAGAAAAAGGTATAGGAATTCCTGAGAGGTTTTAGGGAGACATTGTTGAAAAATGCCTGAAATAAGCAGGTCCAGTCAAAGATAAAAGGAAATGTGAATTAACATTTCAATGTCTCTTTCTGCTAGCAGAAATATGGTGGGAAATATGCAGCTCTGTAACACCAATCATCTATATTTTTCAGCATTAAAGCAAGAGGACCAGTTGGAAAGAATACATGCTTTGGGGTAGGTACATATACATATATGTAGTTGGGATGTATACATGCAAATGGGGTTCAGAAGCTAGAATCAGAAGTCATCATTCTGTAGAGATTTTGTGTTGGTGGCAGAAGGGACATTATAAAGGAGGGGTATTGGCCTTAAGTGACCCCTCTCTCAGCACCCCCACACATAGTAGGAATTTCCTGGACCCCTCATCCTACCTGATGCTTGCTACCATGACATGTGCTCTGCCCTAGCTTCTGAAATGATCCTTTTGAGACTCCTTTTTCTTTCCTTTGGCTTTAGTGACCCTTTTCAGCTAAATATTGGTAGAAAATCAATTGATCATATCAATTCATGAAAACAAATAAAAAGTCCTAATATTCCTAAGAGACATTTTCATTTTAAAAAGTACAACAGGTCTGGTTGCAATGGTGCATGTCTGTAATCCCTGTGATTTGGGAGGCTAAGGTGGGAGGATCTCAAGTTCAAAACCAGCTTTGGCAACTTAGCAAGACCCTAAGCAAACTTAGTGAGATTGGTAAAAAACTGGTAACTGGTGTAGATAAGATACCAGAGAAAATAGAGGCTCAGTGAAAGTTATTTTCTTTACCTATTCCTCTGATTCTTTCCTTTGTTGGTCCTTCTAGATGTATGATCTCTTTCAACTAAATCATAGCAAAGTGAGTAGTTGATCCCTGTTCTGTACTCCCTGAACAAGTGGCAAGGTTGAACATCTTCAACCTTCAACATCTTCAATCTTTCAATAGCCACATTATGGACAGATGATAGGTTCAATGCCATGCTTGCAAGGAATTCCACTCCATGGGTGGAATTGATGGCAACCTGTCATTGACTTGGCAGGCTTTTGGGGGCCTGTCCATTGTTCCTCAATAACATCAGGACCACTCAGCTATCATTTAATTCAGTCTACTGGAGCCAGGAATTCCACCAACTTCTATTGAGAACTGGTTCTAGCTAGTTTCTGGATTGGTGTGGGTCTAGTGTTAGGTGCTGGAGAAAACCAGGTGAATTGGACAAAACAGGGGGCCTTAAAGGAGTACAGTTTGTCAAAGCAAAATTGTCAAAGCTAAATTCTGTCCTTTCACATTTTAATCTCATGGTCTAAGAATAGGAGCAGTAGTTTCAGAGTCTCCTTTGTCAGTACCCAAGTATAAAATTAGCACTCAATTGATCAGGAACACCTTCTGCTGCATACAATTTACACCTATGCTGTAGATCAATAAGTACAGCACAGACCCATGAAGATAAGTCTCTCAAACAAAGTTGAGTGCAAACAAGATTATGCCAGTCAATAGTGGATTATGTTTAACCTTTTTTTGTTAACCATTCTTAACTCCAAAGCATGAGGGGGATTAATATTGTCATCCACAGGAAATGGGACCTGAGATTCAAAGGGACTTAATCTAGTCCCTCCAACCAGTGTAGGATGTAACCACTCTTCCAAATGTCTGAAAAGTTTTGCTAAAAAACCTAATTTCTAAATCAGGAAGACCCCCCCGAAGGACATAGGCAAGCTCTGACTAGGAGTTTTAGTTGGGGAAAAAGAAATTCTAAAGTTAAAAAAAAAATTCCCAATGATGCCCCAGTTATATATTCATTCATTCATTCTATCTACCACTTACCACACCCTCCCCGCCTCTTTCCCTCCCCTCCTCCTCCCCCTCCCTCTTCTACTTCCTACTCCCTCCTTCCTCAAGTACTTCTTCCTTCGGAGGCCATAGTGTTTCTATCATAACAGATTTGCTGGATCCACCCGGACTTGTCCAGTCATTCTGTCCTGAGCAGATACAGACACTGTATTTGTTCCTCCTTCCTGCGCCCCGGCAGCTTCCTGACTGCTAGTAGCCCTGGCCTGAGAACTCTTTCCAGAAGTTCTCCCAGGCACACCCGGAGGAGAGGAGGAGAGTTTTTTCCGCAGCCAAAATCTGCTCGGTGAGGGCTGAGCTGGGTGGGACTAGGCGCGGACCCTGCAGCGCAGTGCACAGATCACAGATCGCGGTCCACTGCGCCCTCTGACTGCGCTCTCTGTTCCCAGGAGCTTACGGACTTGGGGAGCAGCTACGCCAGGTGGCGTCCAGGTGGGGCCAATGAAGCGCAGCCTGAGGAAGATGCTACGCCCTGGAGAGAAGGAGCCCCAGGACGTAGTCTATCAGGGCGTGGAGGACGACATGGACGAATCCAAGGACTCCTTTAAGGTACCCGGGGCGATCCGCAGTGGGAACCGGTTCCGAAGTCTGGGAGGGGATTGACTGGAGTTTTTCTTGTGGGCAGCGTTTGGATACTGGGACTGGAAGCTGCTAGAGTGGAGGGGAGATGCTTGCTTCAGGGTGTGAGCACAATGTAAGTGCCCCTCACAACTGGGGAGCTTGCGGGCAGTGCTCAGAATGCGCCCCCGCAGTAACCATTGCTTTTTCTGTGCGCTTACTTGTTCAACTTGTTTTTGTTGGTGGGCAACTGCAATCTGGGAGCGCGAGCCAAAATGTACCATTGTCATTTGCCAGAATCGGGGACAGTTTTAAAGTTTGTGTCTTTTGCGTGGACACCAAATTGGAAGTTGGATAGCTATCTAAGAGATTCTTTGGGATTGGGAAGCATATTTGTCTAACAGTGTCAAGTAGAGAACACCTGGAAATGCCTGAAGGACATCCATGAAATGGAAGGGCAGGATTGGGGGCGGGAAGCACCAGAAAGTCTATGAAGGGGGAGACCTTTTGAAGGTGGGTGGGTGGGTAGGATAGCAGCTACTGTTTATTAAGCAGTTCTCTGGACTTTTTGATCTAATGCAGCACAAGCTATCACTTGATGGTACCCTTCTAGTCAGAGGAGTAGAGGCTGTTGGGTTCCAGAAAATGTATCATTATATTTCCTCAGATTGACAGCAGGAGGGAGGGTCTCTTTTGTAATGAGAGGATATCATTAAAGATGGCTTTCCAAATTCCCATTTAAACTCCCTTTCCACAGTGAAACCATCTTAACAGTTCCTTACATATTTTTCAGAAAAAAATACTGATGCTGTACAAATACACACATGTTCATATATCTTCTTTTATTTGCAAAAGTATGAAGTCACAGAGATTTATATTTTGATTTACTCATGAAATACATTTTAGTAGACTTTTCAAATCAGCAGTTGAGATTTACCTCATTCTTTTTAGCAGCTTCATGACACCCCATTGTATGAATGTATCATGATATAGCCAGTCCTGCACTGATAGACACTTAGGTTGTGTTTGTTTTGTTTTGTATTTTGTTATTACACTTATGATTGGTTGTGTCTGTAAATGTAGATGATCTCTTGGATTATGTCTTTGAAGTTAACCTGGGACCAGAAGAAATTTTAAAATTTCAAAAATTATTTATGTAGTTCATTTTCTAGAGATATGTGCTGAAGGATTTCCACAGCCCAGTCTCAATCTTTTCTTCACATTTTAAAAAATTTGTCTTTATTTCATTTTATTGACTAAATGAAGTGGGGTCATTTATGTTATTTAAGGTTATTTAAGGGCCTGCAGATCAAGGGATTTAGACATTTTATTTTGCTAACTACAATAATTATAGGTCATTCGATAAAAATCCCATTGGATGGACTCATTTCAGTGCAACATGTATAACACTGTGGAGAGTTTTGAACTTAGGGACTTTCTTGGTGGCTTTCTGATTTGAAAGATAGGGCATATAACTTAATTCTCCAATACATACACACAGTGTCTCATGAATGCTAACTAGAGAATCAACCAGGCACATTGGGGAACACCTGTAATCCTGTCTACTCAGGAGGCTGAGGCAAGGGGATCACAAGTTCAAGGCCAACCTTAGCAACTTAGTGAGACCCTGTCTCAAAACTAAAAAGGGTTGGGGATGTAGTTTAGTGGCAAAATGCCCCTGGGTTCAATTCCTAGTACTGGGGAAAAAAAATGGAAGGTTGGAAGAAAATTTCTAAGATGAGAAATGTAGAAAAAGACCCATCAGACTGATGTCTTTGTCTTTTTCAATAACTTTTTTTCAAGAGAGTTAAAATCATTAGTATTTAACCTTTCATTTGTTAAAACTAATCTCTCACCTTAGTTTTCCTCCTTTTTTGCCCCATTACTGCTTATATGTGTTTAATTAAAGCAAAGTAAAACAAATTAATTTGAAATATCTGATTTAAAAGGTCTAGTTATAATTAGCTTCTCTAAAGTGATCTAGTCTATAATGTACTGAATCCAGTCATATAGTTCAGAATCCAAAAGAGCCTAAAGAGACCCTGCAACAATAGGAAGCAACATCAAATGAATATGTGATAATTTATCTAAATGGCATCCTAGGCTTACCTTCAGAGCTTTCTTTGAGAAATGTCTTCAAAGCCTGACAACATACCAGATTCTGAATTGAGATGGTCCAGTACATCAGTAATACCTTGGGAGCTCACAAGGTACTATTGAATTCACAACCGCAAAACAGTACCTAATGAACTTCCATGAGTACATGAGATGTACTGGTACTTCCTGTAAGGAAGGATTGTGAAGTTGAATTTGTGTTGACAGCACATTGCTGAACAGAACCTATAAACTATTCTTTCAAGTACTAGGGTGGGCAATACAGTATCATCTTCCAAAGAGCATATCAAATTCAAGTGCAAAACACTTTCATATGGATTTAGGTATACACTTTCATTTAATAAGGCATGAAATTAAGGAAGAATATTTGATTTATTACTGAATATATGTAAATTTGAAAACAGGTGCTTATTTTATATCCTGCAGTCACTAAAGATATATATATAGCTTATATGGAACTCAGGATTTTTTTTAGTTAAAGAGTGACCCGTCTTATTTAAGAATCTACAACAGAAGAGTCATTTCTCCAATGCTCACTGTGCTAACAGAAGTTAAATCCAAAGTTAAAAAAAAAATTGAGATTAAATTTTTATTTTAACCTGACATTTACTGAATTAATACTAGCATACAAATTTTGTTTTTACTTATCATATTAAGATACTTTAGTTTAAGTATTTTAGGACTGTTTGATAGATTTTCTTTTCAGTCATGAGATATTTTCTAGTTATCTTTAAAATAAAAATTGGAGTATGGACACATACATTATCATGTGGCAAATGTGACCAGTCATAGTCAAAGGAAGAACTAAAGTATCTGGATCTCTGTTTGAGGGC